TTAATTCTCTTTATTAATCTAGTCTTTCCTCTTCAAAGTAAATTTACCTGTTTGAAGAAGTTGCTTAAAACCAGTTGCCTGAAATAAAGTTGGTGTTCAGTTCAAGGTTACTATCCTGAGATTCAGAAAAAAGTCATTTTTTTGTGAAAACACAGATTAATTGATCTATGTAGCTGGCAGCAAACTGGAGAAATGACTTGTCCTCACTATACAGGACCAGTGTGTAGCTTGTATGAAAACTCTGACCTAACATGATGATTTTTTTTTTCCTACTTCTTCTAGGTAGCTACATTAGCTGAAGGCAAGGAGTGGTCCATTGAAACTTCTCCTGCCAGGAACTGGACCCCACCACAGCCTAAAATGTCTCTCTCTTCCACTCACCGGTATGTATTCTTGTTATCTAACGCTCATATAGCAACAGCAGGATCAAAACTTGATGTTTGAATGTCTACTGGTTTTATTCTGTTGATGGTGTTGTCTGAACAAGCATTTCCTTTGCTGAAGTTAAGGAATATGAGGTAGCAGAACTTTAATTTCTCTAATAATTCCCACCTCCTCCACCTGGACCTTAAACCATGGTAGAAACAAGTGAGCAAAAGCAGAGGACAAGCCATACTGGTTTTATTTTGGCTTCTGATGCACCCAGGACTAGTCATTGTGTCAATCATGCATAGTGTGTCATAGCCTGTGCTGTGCTATTCGTGATTGAATGCCAGGGAAGAAGAATCAGACTTTTTCCTTATGTTGCTAATTACTAATGAGAGCATCAAGGCTGGACTGCAGCAGTTTTGTTTTCCTGCTTTTGCATGTAACATTTCTTATTCTTTGCATTAAAGAATGAAGTTAATTGAAAAAGCGATTGTAAATCAAGCAAACAAGCGCTTCATGCCTGGCCATCACCCAGCAAGTTCAGGGGCTAGCTGGAGTCTTTACTCAAGACTTGTCTGGTTGTGGATCTACTGTTGCTTTATTCATTCAATAGTCCAGTAGCTTTTAGTGGTTACATTAGAGTTCTTTACTTGAGAGCTGAAAGAATTAATCAATTTTGCACCTGAATTAAGATGATGGATGTCAAACTGCGCTGCTGAGCTAGTGGTTTTTGCTTTACGCAGTTTGATTCTTAAATCTTTCATTTCAGTAGTTCTGCTGGGCAATCTCAGACTGCAACTGCCTCTTCTGACAAGGCTTTTGAAGACTGGTTAAATGATGATGTCAACTCCTACCAAGGGTAATGCAATATTTATTAACTTTTTGAGTGCCTGGCCCTCTAGCATAACCAAGACTCGGATGTTCTACTACAGCTACGTGATCCTGATTCACTAGTTAACAGTTACATCTTCTTTACTATTAAAAATATGTTGCTAATATATGATAAAGGATAAGATAAAGTATCTCTGAATGCATTTGTATTAAAAAAATACGTTTGAATAGCATTGGAGAGACAGCTCGTAATTCAAAATGTTACTGTTGTCGACTCCAAATTGGGGAGTTTTTAGTGTATATAGTATCTTACAGTGATTTGAGTTAAACAGGGGTGTTTATAAAGCTAACACTGTTTTCTTCTTTCCTTTTCCCATTTTCATCTATCCCTTTATTAGGATTTACTCAGACTTCTGATATCAGTGATCTGTTAAACCTGGAGGATCATTAAGACCACATTAGCTTGCATAGGGGGCAGATTAATTTGCAAGGATTCACTCCAACGGTGAATCCTTGTTGGAGTTATTTTTTTATAAAGTGAGTAGTTTTGTATTTTGGGTGCTGGGTGCTTTAGGACTTGTTTTCCAGGTATATTTTAAATCTGTTAAGCAATTGTTTTTCTTTAAGGCTTTTCAGTTTTTCTTTAATGATTTTAATGAATAAATGCTAATACAGATACTATTTGTTTGTATTTTTATGGTAGTGGCCAAGAGAAGCGCTATGTGGGGTTTGGAAACACAGTAAACCCCCCCAAAAAAGAGGATGACTTCCTGAATAATGCTATGTCTTCATTGTATTCGGTAAGGAGTTGCTTGAAGCTTTCTATGACCTGACTTACTATTTTCTTCTATTTTATGCCCTGTTATGGGAGAATATAAATAGAGAAACTAAAGGCTGCAGGTAGATACAGGGAGATGTAAAGTATTTGTTGTATTCTCAGAATGAAGAAGATACTGGGGGACTTGAAAAGGCAAAACAAAGGGAGAAACTCAAGCAAAACATAGGAATTATGTCTGGTATCAGTTCATAGAAATAAGGAAATGAGGATATAGCAAAGGGTTAAGAACTAAGAGTCAAAAGGGCTTGGAGAGGGGGGAAAAAAGTAATTACCTGTTGGGAAAATCAGTTAGGCTGGTAATGCTCTAAATAGATTAACTGTATTGGATATGTTCAGAGGAAAACAACTGAAATGTGTGTGTATATGAGCTCCAGAAACCCTGAGCAGCGATGAAAACATTTGAAATAACTTGTGACAGGGTGTGAAGACGTAACAGCATATGGTTGAACAGTTGTCGTGATTGAAGTAGAGATAGTGAAAGATACATTGTTGAAGGAAAATGGGAATAAAGTCAGAGGCAGTCAGGGGCTACTGGCGCTTTGATAAGCTGTGAAGTCACACTGCTGAAAAATATTTGGGATTTGGAGTCACTTTGAAATACAGCAAGTTTTGTTTTGTTTTTTTTTTAACCAGGGTTAGTGGCCAGTAGTCTTCTGTAGAGGCTAATCGTATTATCGATATAAATATCCACACCAAACAATTCCATTGTTTGGGTTTTTTTTAAGAAAATGTAATAATTTCACTAGAACATAATAGAAATATATAATACCTGTGCCTTTGAACAGTATTCCAGGTGATCCCACGGGGTGTTTCCTACAGGACTGCTGAATATTTTCTAAGTATGTCATAGATTGTAGACCAGAGAGTTCAGATTAGAAACCACATCTTTAATGTACTGTGGATGTGGTAAGACAGCAAAGGACAGTTGACACTGTGTTGTCCAAGTTACTGTTAACCATTCTTTGAATACATTTTCTCATTGAAACTTACAATTCAAATGCCCTCTTGTGACCACAGATACATATTACAGTGCAATTGTAAGTAGTTTATTATAGTGAGACTGAATATTTGCATAGATAATCATCCTAGTGAGGAAACCAATTTTCTTTCCACTGTGTATGATTGTTTTTCCCCCACACATACATACAAATTATCTTCTGCTGTTACATACCAGAAGGAGCATTTTCTGGAACGGAAGTTCATCACTATATTACAGTCAAGTGAGAGACTATAATTTCTATTCTTACTAGCAAATAGTTCTTACAACTACAGGACAAGATGTATAGGAGAACATTTTTGACTTAATTTAACATGAAATAGTGAACACTTGGTTATTCACTATTATTATTCACACATAACTTACCACCTTCTCACTTTCTTTAAAGGGCTGGAGCAGTTTTACGACTGGAGCAAGCAAAATTGCCTCAGCTGCTAAAGAGGGGGTAAGTAAACAAAATGTATTTCAGTGTAATTCTGTGAACTTGGAGATTCTGTTAGTGTACTAATAGGGTGTGTCTTTAAAAATATTACCAAGACAAACTAAACTCTGCTCTTTGTGTATCTTTGCTTATGGCATATAAAATAGATACACATTGATTGCAGATCTCTGACTTAAATATTTCTCATGTTTCTCTTTGGACATTCTTGTAAATTTGTCCACTGGCTGTAAGCATCAAGAAAGAACTCAACTGCTGGTTTTATATTCCCTTGAGAAACCAACATTTTTATTTGTAAAACAGAAATTTCAGTCTACACCAGTAAGGCCAAATTGCATTCTTCAGCAAAGAATTTAATACCAGTTAACAAATTGCTGATGGTTTTATATTTTTTTTCCTTCTCTTGACTTCTAACTACAGCATTTTTGCCATTTAAATAGAGATTGTCAGGCAGAGGTTGTGCCCAGAGGGGCACTTTGGGATAAAACTGAGGCACAATCTTCACCTCTATGTGTTCTGCAGCTTTGCACACTTAGGTGACAATTGTTCAACTAACTGTAGACTGAAACCAGAGGAATTAAAAAATCATTACATTTTAAGTACATGATGGTGGAAATACATTAAATGGTTTTTTTTTATGAAAACTTTTTTCAGTTTTGCTTAGTATTCTTCTAAACTTCTATGAGCATCACAGTTGTCCCTTAAGAAAAACACTTCAGGTGACATAAGAGACAAAAATATTGCTACTCATCCACGTTACCCCAGCAAGGTCTAGTCTATATTAAAGACCCTTTCTTCTCCTTGTTGTAAATTGAGAAAGACCCAATGCTTCCCCAGAGCAATCTGGAATGTCAAAGGTGATGATATGGATATTCTCTGTTCACTGTGAAATTCTGGCAAAGGTCCATTCACCTTGGAGAGGATCGTGTGACATTTCTTAATGTGTGTGTTTAAAAATCAAAAGGTTTATCCCTAGTAAACCTGAATGTATTTGCTTTTTTTTCACAGGCTACCAGATTTGGATCTCAAGCAAGTCAAAAGGTGATTATAGATATACCTGATTTTATTGACTATAATTGACTTCAAATGTCATGTATTTACCTGCACCAATTGGTTTAGATTTGATTATCAACAGACCAGTGTGTTTATCCTTCATAGCACACACTAATTATTAGGTTCTAGCTTTTATTTCCATGGGAATTACAATCAACTGCAGTAATCAAGTTAAGCAAGAAATAAACAGTGATACTGTGCTGTGTGTAACTGACAGGTGTATTGGACAGGCAGTGGAATGAAATGCCTTAATTCATGCTTGGAGACTTATAATACTCTTATTTTATTTTTGTAAACCTTAACATGTGGTCTGTATTGAATTAGTTTGCTTGCTGATGTAATAGAATGCAAGGCATCTTTCCATTGCTAACACCTAATAATATTACAAATGTGAACTGCTTAATATTGTTATTAAATTAGCTTGCTTGTGTGTGTTTAAAAAAGGAACAATTACAAAAGCATTTCCTCTTTCAAACTGGGGTTAAAACAGAGACAGTCAGACCTGAATTACGCAAAGGTCTGACATAAACAAGATCTGTTTGCATGGAAAAGTTTTAAATTCAAATGTAAAAATGTGCATAAGAATAGGATTCTTAACGTGCCAAAGTTCTGAGAGAGAGAGAGAGAGAGAGAGAGAGGACTTAATTTTTATTGGTGTGTGATATAGGGAGTTTTACTCTGAACTGTAACTCTTCTTGTATGTATAGCATTAGCCTGCCAAGCTTTCTGGATGCTATTGCTCCAAACAAAAGCCAAACTGCAGGTGTTGGTGTTCAGACAGACGTGTGCAGTAGGATATTAATACTCCAAAGAGCAAACCAAACTTTTGCCTGTGTTGCAACAGAAATGTCATGTTAAAGCACCCAAACTTTATACTTGGAAACTTTAAAGTATTTGCTGCTTGGCTTATGGAAGAAAAAATAGATGTTCAACAAGTTTTCCTCTTCCACTCCTTAGGGCAGTTTCCCTTTTAGAAAACTGTTTTTCTTTAGTATTATTAGCAAATTTAAATATAGTATTAAGTGTAAAAGCTCATCACATCTACTGACAAGGACCAAGGTGCTCTAGAGTCTAAGCTGTGTTACTGAAGCTTAGATTTTGTTCCTGAACCACCTAATCTGTTACAGTGTAGAACAGAATTAGCATCTTTTTTGATGTAATATATTGTTTAAAAGTATATTTGGTGTCCAGTGACCAAACATTCACTGCTTGTCTTGTCAGTAGATGTTAAAAGTTGGAAAAGGTTCATGCTACTTAACTTGCCTGAAAAAATGCTGCCAAGTTTTTTGCTAAAAGCTGCTTCTACCTTCCTTGCTCTTTCTCTTTTGCTGTCTGGGTAAAGTTTTGGGGCTACAAGCAGCAGCCGGAGCCGGTAACGCCCTCACGTGTATTCTCGTGCATGGACTCCTTGTCACTGTTGGTGCTGAATATGTGCATCGCTCTCCAGCTGTCTTTTTCTTTATTTGTCTTAAGTCAAATCTGTTTAGAAGAATGTTGTGTGTTTCATATGATAATGTTTCTTCAAACCTATTTAAAATAGGTTAAATTGGATAGAGATATCCAAGCTCTGCACTCTCAGAAAACGTGCTGTACTTTTGTCCATGCTCTTCATAAACACTGAAGATGACTTCAGGATTTCCATTTGCATGTCTGATCCAGGAATGCAGTATCCCAAGAACTACTTTGGAGTGGTGTTTGAAGGCAAACTCTTTAATAAATGCCCTGTTTTGTAGTGTTTATAATGGTTGTTCAGACACTATCCTAAATTCAGCAGTAGTAAAGATGAAGAAGCAATTCAGAATTAAACACAATTGTGCTCAAATCTTCCCTTTCTGTATTTGGAAAATTATGTGGTTGAGTAAATGAGATAAATGATATAAGAATTCTTTCAGATTTCTAGCAATGACTTCACTTGGCATACCTGAGCTGTTAGTCTTAGTGTATTACTCTTTATTATATAACTTAAACAGTTTGACAGGTTTAATAGACTCTGAAGGATTTTTCAAAGATGTTTTTCTTAAACACTTTCTAGCCTCACTTCCAATGGAAACAAGCCTCATGTGATTTGCACTCACGTTTTGTACCAGGTGGAAATGGGGTCACCTTTTGCCTTTGTCTTCTCAAATAACTTTTGAACTGGTAAAGGAGTAGAAGTATTGGAGATAATGGTGGTTGGGTAGAGAGGAGATCCCAGTGGTGCTGTGGCTAAGGGAAAAGCTTTTCAGACACCTGGGAATCTGTGGAGAAAAGATGCTCAGGGTGCTCCATCCCCAGGAGGAATCTGAATGAAGGCTCACTCACACCCTAATGAATGTTAGCAGTAAGATATAAACCCTTAGGAAATGAAACTTCATTAAACTCTGCTAATGTTTAGGAGTATTTTCTTACAGGCAAGTTGACCCTTTTGGATTAATTGGGCTAATTCAGAAGGTAATTGGTATAATACAGCAATTCTGAAGGAGAGTTTTTGGTAGTAGGGAAAAGGATGATTTCAAATGAAACATTTGCAAACCCTGCTATCTATGTCAGTATCATCTGATGAAAGTAATTTTCTGACTTACACTGTGGGCTGACATTTCTGTAAGATGCCTCTGAAGTACAAGATTCTTGTACTTGTTCTGGATTGCAAGAGATTTCTGAAGTTCATTGTTTTATCTCCCTGCACACTTGGAGCTGTAAAGAAGATGACAGAAATCTTCTGTTACAGCTTTGCCTCTTGTGTGTTGCTTAGAAACAATTGGGCTGCTATTAACAGATGACAATTGCAGCACGATAAGACAGAAGAATTGGTGAAAAACTGACAAAAAAAGGATCTAATTCTACAAGTAATTCCATTAGTAAGAAAAAATAAGGGTGAATGAGGTCAGTTCTTCCAAATATTCAGCTGCAGGTATTAGCAAGTGGCCCATCTTCTAGGCTATTGCTGGTTGAACCATTGCTTCTGCTTCCAGTACAAGGTCAGACTTTGCTTGGGCTCTGGGCATCTCCAAGAATTTATTACCATGTGCATCTGTTCTGAATTTATTTACTTCTAATGTTTTCTGCAGCACTGTACTGTGTGTGTGCTTTTCAGCTCATTCTGCTTGTATGAATCAAATCTTAAGGCTTCACGTGTTTTTGGAGATATTGCTGAAAAATTAGCCTGCAGAAGATGTTGGCTGTGGTTTTGTTTTTTGGGTTTGTTTTTTTTTTTTTTTTTTAAAGCAAAATATAACTGACTTTGTTTTTGTTTTGCTTTTAAATAGGCATCAGAGTTAGGTCAGACATTAAATGAAAATGTTCTCAAACCTGCACAGGAAAAGGTAACTTTGAAACTAGTAAATTACTTGCAGAACTTGGTTATGCTGATTTAGGGAGTGACTGTTTTCTCCTGCCACAACTGCCTAGTTTGTCAGTGTATCCTTCTGGGTTTTTTTTATATACTAGCACAGTAGCAAAGCAGAAACACCAAATAATTTGAAGCTAGTACGTTAGCAAAGAAAGGTTAATGAGGGTAATTTCCCTCCACCAATCTTTTCCATGTCCACAAGAGTCTGTTATTTGTTCCCTGTTAGATACTATTTTATAGACTTCATGGTTTCAATAGTAGAAGATGGGACAAGATGAAAATGCACCCTAAATAGATGTAAAAATCAGTTTTTTAAAAAAGCCCAACTATTAGTAGTATCTTTGAACATTAAGTTCATAGTATTTTACCCATCTGCCTGCCAACGTTTTAATTCAGCTGAGCATCTTTGAGCCACTGTTTTACCCATCTGCCTGCCAGCATTGTTTTAATTCAGCTGAGCATCTTTGAGCCACTGTTGTTCATCTGTTGCCTCATCAGGGGCAGTAGAATTTGGGGCAAAGTGTGTATTTGGGGACAATTTATCAATGGAAGTACCATGTTCTTGCAGCATTTATTTGGTATTAGTTCAGAATATTCTGGTAGTCGGTTAAAACCAGGTTTTGCCTGGATTCACATGCATAGTGTGGTCTAAAGTAACATTTTGATTAGCAGTTCTAGTTACTGTGTTGTTTCTAGGAAACCAGTTTGAAGCACATTTTCCATTTACAATGGTTAATGACCAAAACCACGTGGCTAATGGCACTTCCAACAGCAGCTGGGAGAAAGCAGAAATACTGACCTGTGTAAATACAGATAAGTCACTAGTGAGCATATAGAAAAAGCAACTCAGTCCTTGTAAGTGACTGATACTACAAATTTTAGTCAAAGCTTCTCCCTAGTGTCAAATGTTGCCTTCCCGTTTCATGTGTTTTTAAAAAAATGAAGTTTCTTTTTCCATCTTTCTCATTTGGCATGCATTTGTTCTGTGCTTCTAGAATTTTGGATCAGCTCCAAAATTTTGATGAAGCCTTTTCCGAGAATGTGGTGCTCTACTTACCTACATGCCTTTTTCCCAAAATATATTGGTTTTGATAAAGCAGACTAATTTTGCTCTTGTAAGGGAAGCAATGCCACCACTGTGGGATATGGATTAATTTTCAATTTGAAAAGGATAGTTTAATCACATTACAAAATAATTTCTTTTGCATTACCTTTATTAATTCAACATTCTTCACGTAGCATTTCAACTCACAGGAGAAGACTCTAATTAGTTTCCTGCTCCCTAGAATTATCCACAACTTTTTTCAGATATATTCTATTCAGGGTTCTTTTTAGGGTGTGTTTCCTTGAGCTGATTATTTTGTAGGACAATTTAATGAGGAATGTCGCATTCTATATTTAAAAAAATATCTATTTCCCTTAGGATGTTGTGCTGTTAGTTCCAAGTAAGTGTTACTTTCTGAACTAAGTGTTCAGTGATCACTGCCTGGAATATAGATGGTTATATAAAGTCACTTGCTTTGGAACAGCTGTCACTTATTTCTTGGTGAAAGGTACCAATTATATTCTAGTTGACCAAAGTTCAAAGCCCTTTTAACATTTAAATAAGCATGTGTAAAAGATAGAGAATAGAATGGATCTGATAGGCTTTTCATCTCTCCAAACCAAATCTTTTTATATAGTAAAATATATTTATAAAATGTCACATTTGCAGATCTTTTTTTTTGTGTGTTTTGTGTTTTTATGCTTAGCATTAGTGTGATGAAACCTTCCTCTAACTGTGTATGGATCAGTAGAAAATTCCCACAAACTTCCTAAGAACTGAGGTTCACTCCATTACAGATGAATGGACTTTATATGTCATTTTCTTAACTTACTGAAGTATATTTTGATTCACTTTCAGTTTGGGTTTTTTTTTACACTTTGTTTTTATCTGTTAAGCACAAGTAAGCTTGTCTTGATAAACTCTTAATAATACTTTGGTTTATGATTAATTGCCAATACTTTGATTCACGTAGGTAAAAGAGGGGAAAATATTTGAGGAGGTCACCGTGGGGGTATCCCAGTTGGCCAGCAAGGTATGAAGTGGCCTGCCTGACTGGAAGGAGGCCAACAGCAAGCCAGTCTCCATATTCTTACGCAGAGTTTGTAGTGAAACAAACCCCCCCGTGCAGCTTTAGTCTCTGCTTGTGTTGAATATAGAAATATTGAAAGTGTAATTTCCAGGATGCAGTACTTGTGTTGGGGTGTTAAAAAGCTATATGGGTACAATGTGGTCCTTGTAATAGTTTTACTGAGGGCATGATGTAGAGACAGCCAGTGTCCCAAACACAAAAGAATATCTGCTAGAGAATATGGAGACAGCTTGTGTTGCATTTCTATGGTTAAACTTACTAATGTTCTGTGCCTTTTTTTTGTCTTCTTTTGCTGTCATTGCTTGGTAATGTGGTAAGTGCTGCCTACAACTGCTCAGTACAAAAGTCCTGCACACTCTAATACCTGTTTTGATAATTTACTTGGTGATATCTAGGAGGGTCTGTCTTTCTAGCACTGTGAAGGTCAGCACTGAAAGCTCTATCATGTATCAGCTTAGTGCCTTAAACGTTGGGAATATTTGAATCAAATAAATGATGTTACCTAGAGCCTGGCAACTTTAATTCTGAATTCTGGGATTCCTCCTGTGTATCTGTGACTTAGAGTAGTGACTTCCATGGTTGTGACCTTAAGCTTTTTTGTCCTTCAGAATTTCTAATCCAATGCCAGTCCGTAATAATAACCCAAAGGATTTTCCTTGCAGTCCTGTTTAGTCTAGAACTCAATTTTTGGTCTGTTTTACGTGGGCAGTGAACGAATATTGCTGAAATGGGGTGGAAGTAGTTCTGTAGAATAGTAGAAATACAAATACTAGTTATGTGATTCGTAACATCAAAACATCAGGGCTGTCATTAAGTTTAATTTTATGTAAGGAACAATTCCAGCATTTTTGTCAAGGAATTGTAGGAGAGAATTCAAAAGCTGTTATTGACAATGATGTGTGAAAAAGCTGAACTCAACCTACATTTCACATCTTCCCAGCAGCACAATGCTGGCAAATGTATGTTCTTTACAAACAACCATGTAACTGCCCCTCAAAAATACTAATAAGTTGTGAGTGAAATTTTCTGATGAAGTATGTTCACTTTATCTGAAGAAGTGGAGGATTGTGTTGTGGCTTTTGCTGTTGATTTGGAAGAGGTGTTCATAGAATCATGGAATGGTTTGGGTTGGAAGGGACGTTAAAGCTCATCCAGTTCCAACCCCCCTGCCATCAGCAGGGACACCTTCCACTAGACCAGGTTGCTCAAAGCCTCATCCAGCCTGGCCTTGAACACTTCCAGGGAGGGGGCATCCACAACTTCCTTGGGCAACCTGTTCCAGTGTCTGACCACCCGCACAGTGAAAAACATCTTCCTAATATCTAATCTAAACCTCCCCTCTTTCAGCTTAAAGCCATTTCCCCTTGTTTTGTCATTAGTTGCCCTTATGACAAGTGTTGGTTCAGTCCAGATGAATGAAGTGTCATTGTGTTTTCTCTAGGTTCAGGGAGTTGGAAGTAAGGGATGGCGAGATGTCACCACTTTTTTTTCTGGCAAACCAGATGATAATTCTGAAAGGTATTTTTTTAATTATTATTTTCTGTGTCTCTCTAAACATGTAATTTTATCTCCTGAAATCCTCTGCAGTATAGTAGTAGCAGGTGACTTTTAAATATGAAGAAATGATTCTGTCTTTGCTGGAAGTCCTACTATATGTAATATGGGAAGAATTCAATCTAGCTGTTTGTTTGTGACAGTTGTTAAACAGAACAAAATAGTGCATGACACCTTGGTTTTAAATTTTTTCCAAATGTGCATCTGCCCCCCACCCCAGCCTATTAGTACTTAAGGCTGTTAACAAAAAAATCTGTGAATTAGAACATAAGCTTATGCCATTCTGAGCAATATATTTACTTCTTTTGCCTTCATCTTCAGTATTTATTTAACCAAAGAGCAGTAGCATTATCGTTTTCCTTGTTTATGGTAATTTATTTTTATTGTTACGTTCCTCAGAACTAATTTATTTCTACCTTTCTTTCTTTTCCTCCCTCCCTCCACAAAAGACCTGCTGAGGGAGACAGCTACCAGAACAGTGGAGGGGAGGGCTACCAGAACAATGCTGTAGATCAAAGCTTCTGGGAGACCTTTGGCAACTCGGATCCACCAAAAGCTCATAAATCTCCAAGCAGTGAGAGCTGGACCTATGTGGACAATTCCACAGAGAAGAAGAGCTCCGATAGCTGGGACGTGTGGGGCTCAGGAACAGTCTCCAACAACAAGAACAGTAACAGCGACAGTTGGGAAAATTGGGAAACCAACTGGGAAAACACAGGAGGGGAGAGCAAGACCAAAAAACCTCCTAAGGCAACAAAAAAGGCATCTTCAGCTGATGATGGGTGGGATAACCAGAACTGGTAGAACTCTTGTTAACCCTGTTTTGCACAGCTAGGAAAGGGAGGCTATGCTGGCTGATCGAGGGGAGAAAGTTTTACATGCAACTGGAGTATCTTGGTTGACCTTACTGATCTGTTACTTTTGGGCTTCCCAATTATTCTCCTTTCTTCTGTCCCAATTTAGGAAAAAAAAAAAGTAGCATCTAGATCTTTTATTATATAAAGGTGGTGCCCTCTCTTTTTAAGGATAGTGAGAAATGTATTCTCCTTGCACTATTGAAGCTGGATACAGTGACTTTCTTAAGATGAATGTTCAAAGGAGAAAAAAAAAAATAATCAGTGCAAGCACACTTTCATGGCACAGCCTTGCATGTTGTAGGTTAATAGGTGTTCATCCAGCCCTCAATTTCAGATGACCTGAGGTGTTTAATGCAAACAAAGGATGAGGTGTGTCTTGAAAAGATAGCCATTAAATAAGCAAATTGCAGTTGAATAGATCTAGTTCAAATGCCTTATGGATTGCTCTGGCCCTATTAAGTCTGGCAATGCAAGGTGGTTCTTTAAGATACTTTTTTTTGGAGCTTTGTTTTTAAACTTTATGAGATTATTTTATTTTTTTTTTAGTCTTTTAAAACTTCTTTTTTCCCCTTAGAATTAAAAAGGAAACTAGAGTTAGATAATTATTTGTGTAAACTTATAGTTTTGACCTGAGCTATCAAGGGATATTCAGAATGGCTCTACTTGCCCTTCTTCCTTACCTGTGCCCTTCCCCCAGTCTGACTATTTTGTATAGTCTCTTTTTTCTCTGTCTTTCTTCCTTCTACCCATTTATTTTATCTATTCTGATGAAAATGAAATCTTTCGGCTGCTTGTGGCCTTTTGGACATCTGTTTGGCAAGTTGTCAGTGAAACAAATGTATAAAAAAAGATTCCAGTAAGAAAAAAACAAAATGGATGGAAAATATGAGAACATTGAGGAGAGAGGCTGGCAGCAAGCCCCTTTCAAGATGAGTAGATGTCTGGATTTAATAGTAAAACTTAAATTAAGCAGATGTTTTCCAAATTAATCTTTAATATGTCAAACTGTATCTCTGTTTCTATCGTGTACTTCTCTATATTTTCTTCCTGGATCTTGTTAAAGAGAACACTATTTTGGAAACTTTAGAAACTCTTATCAGCATTAAGGAACGGAATAGAAGATTCAGTTATGTCTCAGTTTTGACCCAACAATTTTGCCTGACACAAACCATGACTTCTACAGAAGAATTGTGACTTTAACAACAAGGGTGTCCTGTGTATCCCATTTTATTTTTGGGAGTGAGTTGTAAACGTACAATCAGCTTACTTGAAAACTTCAGATCATGATGTTGTTACATAGTCTGCTTCACTACCAGTGAAGAGATCTTTACTGTGGACCCTGTAAATGTTAATTCAATACCTTAAGAACCTTTTCTTTTTAAAATAAGTGAATTTGTTCAAGCAAACAACCAACCTAAGTTGTCAAAGTTACCTTAAATAATGTTTCACTTCTTTTTCTCTTCACAGAGATTTTCAAGCTTAGAGTAATATCAAGAAACTAAAAAGGAAGGAAAATCAGGAGTCACCTCAAAAGTAGCAGATTTTAAAGGCTTAAGTCTAAGTAGATGTAGCTCTATTTATAACCCAATTCTGTATTTCTATTAGTAGGATCTTTCAGATGGTGAACAAAATATTTTTCTAGTCTTCTCTAGCTCTGTCCTGCAAGAGTTGGGATTTCTTTTTGTTTTCTTTTCCCCCCCTCGCTTCTCCTGATGGCTGTTGCAGCAGAACCCAGCGCTGCTGACAACCCAAGCACTGCTCTAGGCTGAGCCATGCGAGATGCCCCAGGCGTTCTTGCTGACACGCTGACCCTTTGGAAGTGCCCAAGGCACGAGAGATCTCGGTTTACAATGCTGCTGGTGGTACCATTGGCAGATGTTTACAGCCTGACTGTAAAAACAAGGATTTCGTTCGGCTTTTTTCTCCGATTCCAAATATACCTTTGTCATAGCTGAATTGCATGTCAGATGTAACTTTGTATTTTTATGCATCCACCTCTGTTGCCTACTTGTCATTTGTCTGCTGCCCAGTATGAGACTGTAATGCATGTACTTTGAAGGTGGTGCTACGTGATGTGTGTGAGGTGGCACTGCCTGGTCCTTGAGTAACGGTTCGTCTTTGTGAAGTCTTGCAGTAGCGGTGGCGGCAAAAAGCATCTGATGGGTTGTACTGTCTGACTGCTGGTGTCTGTCTGGGAGTGATGTGAAGCTGATTCAGCTTCCTCTGTACAAATTTATTACAGTTTCTCTTTCATAAACCTCCTGAAATAGCTCATAGCAGGATAAACTTTATTTCAAGTCCTTTCAATCAACAGGATCGTGATGTTTACGCGTACGTTCTCCTCAGCTGTGTGGTTTGCCTGGGAGAAAACTGGTTGGTTTATCTATCACTTGCAGCTACAGTTGGCATAAGCCATTTGTTTATCCTTCTGGTTTTATTTTTGCATCTCTTGGGACTTTACGTTCTATAATTAAATTAAACAACCAGGGCACTACTCAGGCAGAAGCTGTGGGTAATGATTTTTCTTCCAGTTGAGGAGACAGTGACAGAACAGTTGCCATCTCTCTTTCTGCAGTGCTGTAGAGATGCAACAAAATGCTGCAACTCCCAGAAAGGTGTGACTGGAAGATACTAAAACCCAATATAATGGCAGAAAGTGTCACTGCAGCCACAGAACTAGTATACCAACTGGTCTCAAATTTGCCAGGTAAATTGGTATTTCTTTATAACTTGTCTGAATCTGGATGTTTTGCCATGTCTTCCAGAGGAGAGGATGAAATAAGGGCATTTTCTTTTGCAAAGCCTCTGTTTTATTGGATTTCACTTTTTTTAGTGTAGATAGCTGGGAACTTTCTGCAGTTTGGTGGAACACGTGCAATCAAGTTGCATGTGCAGAGCAAGTGTTTATGAATTAGCCTTTTTTAATTTTATTTTTAATTTTTAATCCCCTCTCCTCTCCCCAGATTATCTTTTTTTTTTGGCCTGATCATGAGCAGTGTAAACTGAAGCATTGAGTGCAGCCTGCTGGACCTGAGGCCACTTGTCTAAATGAAGATATGGCCATGAATCTGAGTGAGCATGTGGATTGACAAGGCTTTAGTGTCACACTGTGCTTCACCTCGTGGGTGGGTGAAGAGTGCTCTGCTTTCCTCTCAATCCCACCCCACGTAGTAACAATTTTCAGTCATGTAAGTAAATTGCCAGGAGGGAGCACAGAAGGTGAAATGATTAATGCAAATGATTGGACTTTGCAATATGTGGTTTAAATTTCCTGGTGTTTCCAACTGGTTTATTCCTTTGTACGGCCTCAACTTTGGAAAATACAGAGCAGCTGGATTCCTATGGGTAGTCTGAAATAGGAAGGACTTCAAGACATTCAAACTAAGTGCCACTTGCAAAAGAGTGAAAGTCTTTGAGAATGTTCCTGAAGCAGGAACCTAATCCTAGGAGTTAGGGATTATTTTAAGATGTTTCATTTGTGTCTTGAAACCTGTTAATAACTACAACGTTTTGAGAAGTGCTTGGCCAGCTCTCCCTTATAGTTGAGACCTCAAGGATAATGCTGCTGCTTTTATTTTCCAGATCAGACTGTGTAACATTCCATGGGTTCATAATGTATTTATCAGTGTAATGATCTGTGCAATAATTTAACCAGTGTAGGTAAAAACCTTTGTTGTTTAATCCAGGATACATTTAAAGATACAGTGGTCCCCTTGGAGAACAGCAGATTTTAAAGGTATTTCAGTTCTTGCCTTACTTTGGCAATATTAAATTTCAGTAACCCTGTTAAAGAAAGGCTTGAGCAATCAGTGATTTAAAGAGATATCAAGAAACATCTCCATGTCCATTATTAAGAGTTTGATGGTAATGCCTTAGTGACCTCTAGTTGTAGAGCCCTCTTTCATTTTCATGCCAGCAGAATCCTGGTCAGTATGGAGTACTGTATCTTTAATTTTCCTGATGTGTTTTTTTGTGAAGTTCACAGGAATGACAATTTCAGTGAACACTTATTCATTGTTCTGTAGAGTGATACCGGACTTGAACTTGCAGTGTCATCTTTTAAAGAGCATTATAATAAAGCAAAGAGATATTGGAGCAGAATGTTGTTTAGCCCTTTTTCAGGAGACTTCAGTTAATTTTAAGCCCACGGGCATTAGTACAGCTTATGTGGCCTTTTGAATGAAGTAAGTTGGTCCTTACTATGCTTAGCATCACAAACTCAAAATGGGATGCTTCATCATTGAGAATGTAGGAAAGTATTTCAACAAGATGAGTATGAAATTGTCATGTTGGAGGAGAGTAACTGACATTAACAGCATGAATATATGTCCTGGTGTCATGCATATTCACTGCCAGTAATGAGGGAGAAAGGAAGCTGCCAGTGTTGATGACACAGCCAAAATCAGGTGTTTCATCTTTATATTTCATTGGAGTTTCATAGTCTTAACTTTAAATGCTAATTTAAGATCTATTTGCATTAGGAACAGTTTTAAGACAACGTTGATTGCTTCCTTTATTTAAAGATAACTATAAAGTAGAAATTAAAGTGGTTGCAAACAGACTTATGTATTCAGAGATTTTTATTAGCTTGTCTGCAAAGGCACTTGCCACAGGAGAAAAAGTAACTTTTAAAGCAGTTTTTCTTTCCAAGAAGCGAGATTCCTCTCTGATGAATCCTTCAGCTGGTGGTGATGCTTCACATTCAGATTCCAGTTTCCTTCGTTAGCCAAACAGTCACGTGAGTACTCCAGATGACTGATGACTGCACTGAGCTTTATGTACATTTAATATGTCTTTTATTATGTTCTTGGTCAGCAGGATTGAATCCTCTTTGCCTTGTAGAAGTCATTTTATTGATTTTTAAACAAAAAAGTGGGCATTTGGGTTAGGTAACATCACTGGTATTACTCCACTGATAGGCTGTGTCCATTCTTGCCGTAACCTCCCGCATTAAGGGCTGCGCTGTGTGTTGGATGCAAAGTTTTCAGCTGGGATTACTTCAGGTAAACAGGATATGCTGGTTCTGGAGGGAGGTTTTTGGCCCTTTGTTCTGATGACATATGGAGGCTAATGACCTAGAAACGTACAAAATAGCATGGAAAGCAATCGTCTATATTCTGAATTTCAAGCTGAGCACAATCAGCAAAAGCTGATAGAGCAAGTAGAGTTTGTAGATCAGAAAATATCAGTCAATGACT